TGATCTTAAGGAGAAAGCATTCCCTCAGTCAACACTAAGTATGATGCTAGCTGTGGGTTTTTTGGGTTTTTTAAAGATGTTTTATTGTGAATTATGTGATAGTTTACATGGGAGAACATTAGTTTTACATTCATCCTATTGTATATCATTTCATTGCCATGGTTACAATCCCCTCCATGCATCATCATCAACCAGCCAAAGGGTATACCTTGCAAGCCTGTCCCCCGGTCATCAGCACACAGCCCCTCTTCCCTCTCTGGGTCTACAGTCCCCAGCCATTTCATCATCCCATGTCATCATCTCTGCTTCCATCTCTGGTGTCACTGTTTCTCTGGGTAGGGTCTCTTGCACTTTGTTCTTCTCCCTTGATGGTCCCCGAGACCTCCGCTCCTGGACTGCAAAGTCAACCACTCCTCTCCTTTTGCTACAAAACATCCACCTTTACATTTCTAACCCTCACAGTCAGTCCTGATAACAATTATTCACTATTGTACCACATGAGTGCTATCCCCATCTCATTTCATCAGCTCCACCCAGACAGATTGGGTACTACTCAGTGGAGATTCTACCTTTCTCTGTGCCCTCTGGATCTAGGCTTCCTCTTGAAAGCTTGTAAGTCAGTCACTTCTTGCCTTTGAAGCCCTCCAATTTTGGGTAGCCAATGTCTAAGTTGCCCATCCCTGTCTACCCTGTGTATCAAGGGAGTGGGAATGATCCTCACTGTAAAGATTTGTTCCCTCTTTTGAGCTACTGCATCCATAGGTGTAGGTCAAGTTCATCAAATTGTATCAGATTACTCTTTTTTTCCTCTTCTTTTTCTTCTGGTTGAGCTCTGATCATCCAGCCATTGAAGCCAGGTCAAGTGGGTATTATCTGCAAGTGTGGGTGTTCTTGTGCATATGCCCTCTCTTCTTATCAGCTGGACGCTTCACTCTGCACTCTAGTCCTCTGTGGCTATGTCACTGACTCTGGGCCCAAGAGTTCCCAGGTCTTGCCACAATACTGGCCAACCAGGTCTCCACCCGGGTTCACAGGAGTCTATTGAACGTGGTAGGGCTTAGCTTGCTGCTTCATTGCTGTTTTTCCCTCACTTCCACTTATTGGTGACCCACGTGGTCACCAGTCAGAGCGCATGTCTGCTCGTGTATTCCCATTGAGTCTTAGTCTTGGAAGGGAGCTGTGGGGTTTTTGTTTGCTTATTTGTTGTAGTTTTCCTTTAGCTGGTTAAAGACGTTCCTTCTATTCATAGTTTACTTAAAGAGTTTTTATCATGAACCAGTGTTTAATTTTTTTTTGGTATACGTTTCCTGCATCTCTTGGAATGGTCATGGAGTCCTGGTATGGTGCTGTAGGGTAAGCACTGGACTGCTAACCAAAAGGTTGGTTCAAACCCACCAGTCTCTCCTCAAAAATCCTATACAAAGTTGTTGAGCTGGAAGTGACTTAGTGGCACTTAACAACAACAATTGGAGTGGTCATATGGTTTTTGTTTCAGGCTGCTAATATGGTAAATTGCTGTGATTTTGAAATGTTAAACTAGTCTTATATTCCTAGAACAAAACCCACTTGGTCATAAGCATCGTTCTTTTTATGTATTGTTGGGATTAATTTGATAATCCAACTATGTGAAGGGTTTTTGTGTCTAGGTTCATGAGGGATCTTGGACTTTGATTTTAAGAAACTCCTCTGGGTTTGGTACCAGAGTTACAATGGTCTTGCACAGACTTGAGAAGAGTTGTCTCGTTTCTGTTTTCTGAAAGCACCCGTTTGGTCTTAGTCTTAGCTCTTCCTTCCATGTTTGGGATAGCCCACCAGCAAGGCCACGTTGTCCTGACCTTCTTGGTGGGACAGAGCCCTTCTTTATGGCTGACCCTGTTCTTCCTGGGACGCCTGCCTTGTGCACACCTTGGCAAAGCGGCTGGCTGACTATGGCAGTCTTGTAGCTCTAAGCACCTTTCTGGTGTCAGCCACACATCTGTCAGGTGGAAGCATTATTGCCCCTTCCTGCGTGGGGGACCAAGAGCTCTGGCAAACTATCATGAGCACTGTCCTAAACCCAGTATACCCTTTTCCAGAGCTTCTCAGCACCATGGCCAGCGCTGAGCAGACGTTGGCCACACAGGGAGGAAAGGAGACAAGATGCTCTGCTAGGGGTATGTTCAACACATCATCCCATCACTACTAACATAAATTCAATGCCCACCTCTTTTCTGTCCGTTTCTCATACTGTGGTGGTTTGTGTGTTGCTGTGGTTCTGGAAAGTATGACACCAGTATTTTAAATAACAGCAGGGTCACCCAGGATGGGCAGGTTTCAGATGAACTTCCAGACTAAGACAGACTAGGAAGGAGGAAAGACGGGCTACTTCTGGATATTTAGTCACAGAAAACCTTATGAATAGCAGTGGAACGTTCTCAGATATGGTCAGAAAAAGAGTGCTTTGGGTTGGAAGGCACTCAAAATACACGTGGGGAGGAGCTGCCTCCTCAAAGTAGAGTTGACCATGATGATGCAAATGGTGTAAAGCTTTCGGGACCTTTGTTTGCTGATGGAGCACAACTAAGAATGAAATTGATCAAACATACAATCAAGATGCATTGATCATTACTGGTGATTGGAATGCAAAGGTTGGAAACAAAGAGGAAGGATCAGTAGTATATGGCCTTGGTGATAGAAATGATGCTGGAGATCACATGACCAATGACTTCTTCATTGCAAATACTTTTTCTAAACAACCTAAAAGATGACTATATGCATGGACCTCACCAGATGAAATGCCCAGAGATCTAAGTGACTACATCTGTGGAAAGAGATGGTGGAAAAGCTCCATATCATCAGTCAACAAGGCCAGAGGCAGACTGTGGAACAGACCATCAATTGATCTTATATAAGTAAAAGATGAAGCTGAAGAAAATGAAAATAAGTTCATGAGGGCCAAAACATGACCTTGAACATATATATCCCTCCTGAATTTAGAGACCATATTAAGTACAGATTTGATGGATTGGGAAAGTGGAGGGTCACCGAAAAAGAGGAAGACACCCATGGTAGCAATGATTGTGAGGTTGCCACAGGACCGGGCAGTTTTGTTCCGTTGTACATAAGGTCTGAGCTGGCACCTGCTCAAAGGCACCTAGTAGCAACAACAATGGCCCCTAAGCAAACGTTTATCTTCTTCCCCTGCCCCGTGTTCTTAAGTGCCATCTTGTTGATTCTGACTCATACCTACCCTGTGTAAGATTTCCACAAATTGGTGGGTTTGAATCGCTGACCTTGTGGTTAGCAGTCCAGTGTTTATCCTACAGCGCCACACCAGGACTCCTGCCCGGAGCAACCATTAATAATCTTTGGACCTCACTGATATGAAATAAGCAAAAAATAATGTTAGCTTATTTCACGTAAGTGAGCTCATGCAGTATTTGTCCTTTTGCAACTGATTACATGGGTCTTGATGTTTCCAAGGTTCATCTATGCTATGGCCTGTCCGTAACTTGTATTAAGTGAGTGAAGAGAAGGAAGAAGCAGGCAGCGATATAGAACGGGTGGCCCTTGCTTGGAGGACTGAGTGTTTTTCCTGGGCTGGGGGAGGGGGGAAGAAATGCAAACACCGCAATGAGCATGAAGGATAGGAGAACACCAGGAGCTCTCTGGAGCCCACAAGACTTCTTCAGCAGGGGTGATGGTGAACTTTCTGGGAAGCAGCCCGGGCCGTCCAGGAATTGACTGTATATCCTACACCAGTCACAGACCCAGTTCCTTGGTGGCGCCAATGCTGCCACTGACCCTAACCTGTGACCTCCTGTCTTCCTAATCCTGGCCTTATCCTCTCCTACTCCCCTCTGCAGCACCAGTTAACGTGTTTGTTTTTCAAGAAACAGGAGGTTCCTCATGGCTGGGCTGCCTCAGCAGACCCTCGCGGTTTCCTTAGATATTCGTTCCCATGGCTTCTTTGGAGTCTTCTGTGTCCATCTCACCCCCTCCCCAAGCTCAACCCTAAGAAGGCTCTGGTGCAAAGGCCTGGGAACGCCATGCGGAGGCCACTGCGGTGTGACCTTGGGTGAGTTCCTTGACCTCGCTGATGCCCGGAAAATGTTGCCTCCCTCCCTCTTCTCCCCGTGGGAACCTGAGCGCAGGAGGAGAACGGCGCCGCAGGGCACAATTCGGGAAGCGCAAGGTCACGAGTTCCAGGCACCCGCAGCCGCGTGCAGGCCCCGCGCTTCTTCCTGCAGTGCTGGGCGCCGGGAACCGAACACTTTTTTTTTTTAGTCCGGTGAACGTGGCCTTCGGGCATAGCGCGGCGGGAGTCGGTGGCCCGAATTGTCCTTTCTGTCCCTGGGCCAAGACAGCACTAGAACTGGGAATGCGGTTCTCAATCTGCACCCCACCGCGCCCGCCCGGCACTCACGACGCGCCCGCCCGCCTGATTCCCGCGATGCGTTTCAAGGCCGGGCAGGGTCGGGCGGCAGCGGCAGTTCGGCCCAGCGTGCTCGACGGCCTGCGGAGCGGGGGTCGCGCTAGGGCCGCGGCGAGGCGGGTTGGCGGTCCCCAACCCGACCTC